CACAGCTGTTCCCGTCGGCCCCGAGCCGGAGCCTCGCGGGCCGGGCCACGGGGGGCCTCGAGCTCTCGTCCTTCCGTCCGTGCATCCCTCCCCGGGGCCCTGGGCTGAGCCCCTCACATTTTGCCGAGTGTTGCAGAGGGAGAGGAGGGGCTTTCCGGGGTGAACGGTGACCGGTGACCACAAGGGCAGCCGGCCGGCAAGCCCTGGGGCCTGAGCCAGACACCCCGCTCTCGCGGGCTCAGGCCCCCCCCCCCCGCAACACCTTGACTCAAGGGGAAAGGCCCCCAGCCACCGCACGCCCCGGCGTCATGCCTCAGTTTGGAAGCTCAGGGAAGGGGAGAAGGGGAGGGCGGCGGGCAGTGACGAGGCCGGACGGAACGGAACGCGGGCGCGGGACACAGGTGTCGAGACCCTGCCGCTTCCCCCTTCAGGGCCCGGCCTGGCCTTCATCGCCTACCCCCGGGCCGTCACGCTGATGCCTGTGGCCCCCCTCTGGGCTGCCCTGTTTTTCTTCATGCTGTTGCTGCTCGGCCTGGACAGCCAGGTTTTTGGGGGGGGGCGGGGGGGGACAGGACGGAGGGTGCCGGGAGGGTGGGGGAGGCCCCGGGGCGAGGGGGGACGGCTGGCAGGTGGCCGCAAGGGCGTGGCCTGAGCGCCCGGCCACAGTTTGTAGGTGTGGAAGGCTTCATCACCGGTCTGCTCGACCTCCTCCCGGCCTCCTACTACTTCCGTTTCCAAAGGGAGATCTCCGTGGCCCTCTGCTGCGCCCTCTGCTTTGTCATCGACCTCTCCATGGTGACTGATGTGAGAGGGGGCGGGGTGGGGGCCGCCCCAGGCCTCCCGCTGCCTGCCACCTTCCCTGACCCGGCTCCGTCCCCAGGGCGGGATGTACGTCTTCCAAGCTGTTTGACTACTACTCGGCCAGCGGCACGACCCTGCTGTGGCAGGCCTTCTGGGAGTGCGTGGTGGTCGCCTGGGTGTACGGTAGGTCCGGGCCCCGGGGCGAGCTGGGGGTGCGGGCCGGAGCAGGGGTGGTGGGGTGTCCGGCTCCAGCCCTCCCGCCTCGCTCGCCCCAGGAGCCGACCGCTTCATGGACGACGTCGCCTGCATGATCGGGTACCGCCCTTGCCCCTGGATGAAATGGTGCTGGTCCTTCTTCACCCCGCTGGTCTGCATGGTAAGGGCCGGGGGAGGCCCGAGCCGGGGGAGGGGTGCCCAGGGCCCGCCGCTGGCTGAGCGCGCGGCGGGGGGTTCTCACCCGCAGGGCATCTTTATCTTCAACGTGGTGTACTACAAGCCGCTCGTCTACAACAACACCTACGGGTACCCGTGGTGGGGCGAGGCCATGGGCTGGGGCTTCGCGCTCTCCTCCATGCTGTGTGTGCCCCTCCACCTCCTGGGCTGCCTCCTCAGGGCCAAGGGGACCGTGGCTGAGGTCAGTCCCCTGCACCCCC